AAAGCTATGTTTGATATTAAAATCGTGTGAATAAGAATCGAGATATTAGCAGATTCCAGGCTTGGGACCTCTAAAAGGCTTGTCAGAAGCAGTTTCGTTTGAACTACAAAAATCGGATCTATCTGGAGGGCGGGTAAAAAATTCGGAAAATCTTATCTGCTGCGAGTAAAAGGAGAGAAAATAGCTAAAATAAGTAAAAATGAGAAAGGATTGGTAGCTATGTAGTTTGAATTTTCCGTTTCTCTTTGAAAATCGGTGAATTTTCTGAAAAAGCGGAATACTTATGAAAAAAAAGTGAAATTTTTAGAAAAATCTGAATTTTTGATAAAAAAGCTGAAATTCAAGAGATAAAAGTGAAAAAAGCGGAAATCCGCTAAAAAGCGGAAAAATCTCATCCCTGATCAGGGGATATACCTCCTTGCCAATATGCTTTTAAGGTATTGCATTATTGTCTTATTTCATTTTCCATTATGGAGTTTCGGGGCACTGTCGGTTATTGGTTTTACCACTGACAACAGAAAGGTTCTAACATGTTGGCAAGGCGGTATGTCTCCTGATGAAGTGCCGTTTTTGCTAACATGCGTATCTTTAGATTTTGTTTTCCTTGTATTTAAATTCTCACATTTTTATTTATAGTGTTCATTCTTTGTATTGTAATTTTCTTTTTAAATTCACTTTATTAACTTTTCTTTCAAAAAATTCTGATAGAGACGTGTAGACTGAGCAGTGAAAATGTGTATGGAATAGCAATATCTTTTAACAACTGGTCCTTTTGACCAGTGAATAACTTTTCTTGATTTTTATTAATCCACAATAGTTGGAAATGCCTTAAAAAAACTATACATGCTGTTAAATAAATAAGCAGTAAGATACTATTTCATTAAAAAAAACTTAGTTGGCTTCAAAAATATGGAGATGGAAATAAAAGTCAACATGCTTCATATGCTCAAAATTTCTAACAACTTTTATTTCAATCAGCATTATTTTTAAGCAAATGAAGTTTTTTTTTTTAATCAACTATACTTACAGTATTATAGAATTCACAATAAAAGGCAAAGGAACTGAAAACCATCATTAGAATGAGCCATCTTTTAATACTAAATGCTTCTTTTGATATGATGTATTCCTTGTAATCTGATCGTTTGTGTGTGATGGTTCTTAACTTAATTGCATTTCCATAAATGTCTTGAGCTTTTCTTTCAACACAGATGAAATTTGATTGTTGGCACATTTCTGACCTTCACTATGCTCTACATTTGTCATCTACTCATTCTCTAAAAATATAAAAGTTTCTGATTATGTAATAATGATATTAAATTTCTACACATTAAAATTAATGTTTTGGTATTATAAACACAAAAACATATTTTGTTCAAAAAGCTCATAACATTAAAATATTTTTATAATAAATCTTTCCAAGAATAATGTGAGATATCTTACAAGAAAAGTAAAAGATTATATGAAAGTGCATTACTAAAGTTTTTCACAAAAAGTAAGGGATGTTATTGTATCAGTGCATGAATGTTCATTAGTACAGCAACCTTCTGATTATCTGTGTAACTGGGTGGCAGCCAAAACTCTTACTATCTTTTTTTTTGTTGAACAGCGAGTAAATAAAATGGGTATTTATATGTTGGCATGAACACAGTATAGGATTACCTCAGTACCAGAAGAAACTGATTTACAACATTCATCATCGTCATCATCATAGTTGGTCAGACAGCCCATTGCCTTTCGTTGAAGATTTCTCTAACAACTTCCAATTTATCTTTGATCTTCAATTTTTTCATTAAGTGCAAGAAATTCTGCCTTCTTGGAGGACTTTTTGATGGAACTAACCTGCATTTGCGTTACATGGAGAAGACTACAAGAACCTCTCACGGTTAGCCTGACAGCAAAGGGACTCTAACTCATGATCCACCTACCACTGCTTCTGGATTGGGTTCAAAATAACAAGGCTACAGAGTTGAACATTAGTAGACGTAAACCCAAAAATTGGGTCGGCTGTTCAACGACGGTTATAAAATAAAATTAAGTGCAAGAAAACAAGACTTCACTGAATCAACCCATCTCAACCGCAGCCTTCCCGCTTTCTTCTTTCAGTGGATCTAAAAAGCAATAATATCTTTTTTATTGTATTGTCATCATTCATTCGAATCATGTGGACCATCCAATTCATTCTATTTATTTTTATGTATTTAATAATATATATGATTTATAACATCATTAAATAACTATATTTACAAAATAAATTGAAGAAACCAACAATAAGCCAAAACATGATTTAATCGAATTACCCATATGCTTCAATTTGCGTACTTCTAGAACGATGCAAAGCCTAAATGACTTCATGGGACTCTAAAACTAATAATGAATTAATTTTAAGGGATACTAAAATTAATAATCTTCAAAAGATCTAGGTTCTTAACTAAGTAAATGAATAAGATACCTTTTCACTTAATTATTCAACACATATTTGTTAGATAACAGCCATTCCCATTTTATTTTGATCCATAACTATACTGATTTGTTGTTATAGTAATAATTTAAAGTAAATATGCAAAATGTAAAAAAATTCAATATATTCTGAAATATAAATAAATAAAATTTTAGTGCACTAAGTAATTTGATGCATACAGAAAGTGGAATTTGTACTTTTTTATATAATAATATAATTTAAACAAGTGGGAAGTATTATGATTATAAAAAAAAATAATAAAATAGCAAAGCACTTTGTTTATATACTTCTCATTATTATGATTTTAACATATCTGGATTGATTTTTGTCACAGTTGTGAGGAAAATATTAATAAAATACGTTATTTACATGGAGCAGTTCTCAGAAAGCGGACAACGAAGCCAAAGTGACGAGTTAACTTAAAAATAATTTGATTGATGCAGAAAGGAAAGATTCTACTTTCGCTTTTAAAAGGCACTTTGAATTTAATATTTGGGAGAGCAATCATAGAAAAGAACTGAATTATCTTAATTGCAATTCATAATTTTTTACATACATAATAATTCATACATACATACATAATTCATAATTTTTTACATTAAAGATTTTAATTTTTTAATGATACATTTATCTAAATCTGCAAAATCAGAAATCCTATAAAATAAGAATCTATTCGTGGTTTGCAATTTATAAAATAAATTAAGCTTTTTTGTACTAAAAGCATCAAATTATTGAAAATTTGAAAAATAATTTGCATTAAAATTAAGAGGGAAACTTAAATCATACCTCCTATTGAAGATGTTCTTAAAACAATTATATTTGTTTTTAGACACTGAATATGGTACTTGTTTATAGAGCCCATAGTATAGTGAATCAGTTTATGCACCTTTATTCACATTTTGTTTTAGTAATGCATAGCACAAAGTATAGCCTATCCTCATTTAGATATCACATTTAACAGTCTTAAAAACAAAGACTGTCCATCGTAGTTCTTTAAAAAAGAATGGTAATCCAGAGTCTTGGCTTAGGCGTCTTAAATATCCACTGGTTAATCGTAACCATGTGACACAGTAGATAAAAAACTATGGTACTTCTCTTTTATTCAGATAAAATTGACGTTTCATTTACCTAAAAAATTATGGATATATATTCCTAACATTATTATCACATTTTCGTCAAAGATAAAAAATTATTTGTTAAAAATAAGGACTTAATTTTACAATTATTAAACCAAATTTTTTAACAGTGCAATACATTTTAACGGCTATTTTCTCAAGCTTTGTTTACTACTCTCGGTGCAATTAACATATCTCAGAGATTATACAAGTAATTTTTAACAAAATAAGTATTTTCCTTTATGCATGTTTCTTAAGATCTAAATTTTTTTTTTCCTAACGTGATGAAGGAGTAATGAAATAGCAACAAAAGTTTGAATAATACTCTTACTTAATCGAAGGAAACTTTGTATGTTTTCAGACTAGAATCTGTGCAATAGGAAATATTTCCACTTAATTATTTACTTTTGATCGAATTTTTTAAAAGGCATTTTCATCACAAGAGACATTGACGGATAGGAACAAATTTCATACATGTTTACAGACATTTGAACTGCCAATTTAATACTTAAAATTATAAGAATTTACAATGAATTTGTTTATATGTATAATATATGATTGTTACAATCAAAACAAACATTACATCACAGTTATTTAAATCAAACAACACTATCAGTGTCTAAGTTTTTTTGAGAGGTACCTATTTTGTGAAAATTTAGACATAATTTGTGAAAATTAAAAATTACATTTAAAAAAAAATCAACACAAAATTACCGTAAATAAAAAAATATTTTCAAAAATTGTCACTAAAAATTATTTATGACTGGTAAATTTCGATATATTTTCCCCCATATATTAAAAAATAATTTTGCTATTGTAAAATTTTGGGCTTAAAATAGTTCCCAAATTTGTCCATAGTTAAATTTCAACTTGAATTTAATAAAAACGTGCATTTACAGTACTAGCACTAAAAGTTATTTTCATTATGAGAACATTTTCGATTAGGTCATACAAAAAAAAAAGTTTCCCAGAGAAAAAAATGGTTCATAAAAAATAAAGGTATGTTAAAATAAATTCATAATAGTGTTGAAGATAATATTAAAATGTTTAGAATTATGCTCGAATTTTGACTTCCTGCAAAGTTTATAGAGGGCTCGTAATTTCCTTTTTAAAAACTCAGAGTAAAAAAAAAGCTCGCTTTGATATGGCGTAAGAGACCAGTTAGGCTTACCACATTGCACTATTTGACCTTTTTGTAAAAGACAGCTTGCAGAAAAGCTCTTTTCCATAGATTGCAATGAGAACTGAGTTTGCATGAGTACTTGCTTTTTTAAAAGTATTTTGCGAAACTACCATTTTTCCTAAAGTTGAATTTGTGAAAGTACTGCTAAACGGTAGTAAATTTATTCTGGACAGATCCCTGACTATAAAAACGTTGATTTTCTTCATTGATAAGTTTCGTACATAAATTGAATTACAAATATAGGATATATAAAATCAAATCCTAATACTAGAGATTTTTCACTTCTTTATTGAACAGGATAAAAATTAAATACTACTTTTTACATTAAAGTCATACTTCTATTAAATCTAAATTAATAGTAACTACATTTAAATGTCAATAAAATGGTTATAACATGATACATATGGTGTTAAGTACCTCATTGCTTTAAAAAAAGGATTCTGCTTGTGTGTATATTCAGGAAGAAAATAGAAAAGCCAGAACATCACCAGAGCCCACAGCTCCTGATGTCTTAGTTACTGTGAGAATCAGTTGTTAGGCTTTCTTCTTTAGGGGGTGTTGGTAGAACTAGGTGCCTCTTGGAGCTTTCATTGTTGTTTAAAATTTTTCAATATCCTATTATTTCTATAATGATTTTATTTCTTATTATTACAAAAACTCACTTTTAAGTAATTTTCCTTGTTTTCTGTGAGAAAAACTCCAAAATAAGAGAGGGACCTAATAAATTTTACATAAAAATTTTACTAAACAAAAAAATGCATAAATTTTAAACAACTAAAGTTTGAACAAAACAATAGTGGATATTCCCGTATCAGTACCTGTTTATGCCAATTGCAATTGCCAAGGCACCAAAAGAGTATAGGTGCCTTAGGGTGTTTATGAGTTATACCCTTCTGAGTTGGTCCTCTTCTGAGAATGTTTTTTCTTTTTTTTGCTTTTAATTTCTCGCAGCAGGCTGCAGCCCGATTAGTCGCCGAAACTTGGCGCTAATATCGATGCGGAAATATTCTCAAACTATGATTTGCATTTAATTAAATCTTAAACAATTTGTCGTTGCGAAGCTACCAACTACAAACACGTTTCTTCAGAGACACATTTCTTTATTACAAAAACTTTATTACTCAATTAAGGGAAATGTCAGACCATATTAAAAAAAACAAACAAACGAAATATTGCTCATCACGAAGCTATGGTTTGAATTTTCAAGACTAAGTAAATTAGTGTAAAGGTAAACAATGGACAGGTCATTTTAAAATTACCTACGATACTAAGATTGATAAATGCTTCTAAAAAATAAATACACTAAACTTGAAATAAAAGTCTAAATGAACCATAAAATCCTAAAAATAAAACTAAAATTTACTTATATAATTATTAACCCAGTCGTCTTGTTTCTCTGTTCCCTTGGTAACGGTTGTGTTGTGTTCCGCTCTGCCAGATTCGTTACCAGCAATACTTAAATTTTCCACTTTTCTCGCACTTGTATGGCGATTTTGTAACACAATGGCGGAAGAGCAGTTGGAATGGGTCTTCGATTCTTTAGTAGAATTTTTGAGAGGACCTATATGGAATATTCCGGTTTTAACATTTATCGAACAGAAATCCGTTGGTAAGATATAATTCTTGATTTATTACTATTAGAATTTATGTAATGATTGCAAATTTTTAGTTCTAATTGTTATCTTATAAAAATAAGGTTAAGGAAAAATGTTCGACGTCTTTAGAAATATAATAGTAAAATATTTCATTAAAGTGAGAATAATACGCAATTTAAAAGAAAAAAAATGAAAGGTAAATATATGATATTATGTTATAATAGTGATCAAATTTCAAAAGTGTCTTCAGCGAATTTTTTTTCCCCTTATTAATATATAAATTTTTCAATTTTCATGAATAACACAGTAAAAAATCTATTTAATCTGAATTAAAGAATTCGAAAAAGATATTTGCAGTTCTATTAAACATAACATTTTGAAATAGTAGTAAAATACTTAAATTAATTATTAAGCGTTTTATTTTTCTTAGAAAAAGTTGTGCTAATGAAAGAATTCAACTATAAATAAAAAATGAGTAAGAGAAGGAGATTAAAATGTCATAAATATACTTAGGAAATAAAGTCAAGCTTCCTTAAATTTTTTTTTTTTTAAATTTTAGACTGTTTGCATTCTTTATAATATTTTTTACAAAAATTTAATACTTTAGAGATGAATGAACTAAATTAGGAAATATTGTAGAAAAAGCTAAAAATGTTGGCGTTTGAAATGTCTATAATGATAGTTATAGTACTATTAAATAACCCTAAGTTGTAAAAAAATAATAAAACGAAATTCTTTTTAATATTTCGAAAATTCAAAGTCCCACCCGTTAAAGCACGAAATCATTTTGAACTGTAGTGCTTAATTTGAGTTTTTAAAAATATAAACATGCAGTTAAATCAGTTTGATACAAGGTGTCCCGCAATTGAAGTATTTAGTATTTTGTTATATAAATAAGAATTGAAGTATTTTGTAATATAAATATTTAGAAAGGAAGGAAGATATCGAAATCTGACTAACTACTGTTGATATAGACAAGATTAAACTTGAAAATCAGTTTGATTTCTGGTTTTCTCACAGTAACCAGGGCCTGACCGAGAAATGAGACCCCCCCCTGGTCGTTACTTTTAACAAAATTTACAAGTTGTTTAATTATGAAGTGTTTTTAAATTATTTATAACGCAAGTAATTTACGATATATTATTAAATGTGAGCTTAGATTTATTTCAATTTTTGTTAACTTAAATATCTTAATTCTTAAGGAAGAACACAAGGAAAAAAAATAGTTGTATAATTTAGGGTGTCTTTTGAAATGTGGGGGCCCTAGGTCTGGGCGTCTCAGGCCTTATGATAAATCAAGTACTGATAGTAACCTTTTACCCTATTTCACTTTCTTTCCGTCAACTAAATAGGTTTTACTAATTTTAATTTCTTGTTAAGGATTACTCAGGTTAGGATATTGTTCTGACTTTTATCTGGGATATTGTTATTTCGACGATAATATTGCGAATTCTGAGATAGTATATTTTCTTTATTTATTCTTTGAGAAATATTTAAAAAATATGTATTAATAGCAGTTATTACTTAACACTTTGTATAAATTATGTGGAGGTGAGAGTGTGTGTGAGTGACAAATGTTTCTTGGTCATCTGCAAGATTCGAACAAAAGACTTTTGATGTCGTAGTAGTATGCTCTAACCGCCATGGAAAAGGGAGAACACAGTTCAAGGAGTGTTAGGAAACTTATAGTAGTCGCCGCACACTCCCCCTCCAGTGAAGGAGAAGTCTGACTCGTTGTCCGTCGTGTTTCACGAAACGGAATAGCTGTGTGGTAGTGAATGAAGTCGCTCTTCCAGTGCAGTTTGGATTTTGATGTTGTAGATTTATGTGATTTGTTTATCAAATCAAGGCGAAAGGTGGAACAAGGCGAGGTAGAGTAGTGCTGCCATCTTTTGAGGTTCTAGATAGTTGCGTTGTACGTTCGAGTGTCGTTTGTCACCAATGCGAAGAAGACTGTGAGAGAGTGATGTTTGCTGGCAGCGGGCAGGATTCGAAACAAGGACCTACGGAGTCGTAGTCGGATGCTCTAACCACCATAGAAAAGAGTGTATACTCCTGTCCATGGTGTGTTAGGAAACTTTATATATAGTGGCAGCACCAAAAATGTCTATGGATTCGAAAATATTTCTCCCATAAAAATATATTTCTCCTCCATAAGCAATTGTAATAATTGGAAGTTTTTTTTCTACAAAATTTATACATTTTTCGCTCATAAGTCTTGCAAAATATAAAATGTATTAATTATATTTAAAATCTATTTACAAAAAAATATTTATAAAAAAATTTATTGATTATAAACTTTTCTTATCACTAAAGACGGTGTCAACTTTTTTAATCAACGTATATTTTTTTGCAGTGCTATTATCATCAACATATATTTTTTTACTGTCGCCATAACTGTCATGCAACTAGGACGGCTGCAATTTAGGGCCGACAAAAAATAAATAGGAATAAATTCATTTCACTGATATCTCTGTTTTCGTTCTATGCCTGTCTGTTACTCATGTTTTTAATTGAAATTTTTTTGGCGTTGCGACAATTTCCTTTTGACTGTTCTTAATATTCGTTTTCTTAAACAGCATAAAAAAATTAAGAATAAATTACGCACATCAAAGGTTGTAATTTGATATTTAAGAGATGCAAACAAAAAATGTATCAAACGATGACGAAACATTATCGAAGTCAATTATCGAGTAAATGACCTGAGTGTAAGTTCAATGATATCTCTGTTTGACTTCACTGACATCTCTGTTTTCTGTTATCTATCTATGTCTGTCTGTTACTCATGTTTTTAATTAAAAAGTTTTTTCGCGTTGCTTCAATTTCTTTTTGACTGCTCTCAATATACTTTTTTTTTTAAATAACATAAAAAATGAATTAAAAAATTACACACATTAAGGGTTGCAAGTTGATATTTAGGAGATACAGGCAAAAAATGTATCAAACTATGACGAGAAATTATCGAAGTCAATACGAGTAAATGACCTGAATGTAAGTTTCAGAAGCCAGTTTACTATGGGTTGTATCTGAAAACTGATTTCTTACTCATATACAAACTTTCTTACTATGCAATTATTTATATAATTTTAAAATGTCTTTTTTTCTTCTGATTTTAATATTTATTTGCAACCTTTAACTAACATAGGTTTAATTTCTCTTTATTTTTTAAAAATGATTTTTAAAATACGTATTGAGAGAGATTAATATGAAACACTTTATGAATTAAAAACTAAACCTTATTATTAATGGACATTCATTATTGATCATTCAAACTTTAAATTTTTGTACCCAATTTTAAACGGTACTTTTCTTTAATTTTATTATTATTTGAAATTTTAGGCATGGTCATGGTATCACAGTTGCATTTTGTAAGTATTAGAGATTATTAAATTGATTTGAATGAATAAATTGAAAGTATGTATCAGATATAGCCAGAACTATTCCAGGATTTAAAATTTTAAGATTCGTTAATTAAATTTTTCCAAACTTTGCTTAACTTATAAAAACATTTTCCTGAAAAAATTCGTTAGGCAAAACTGTTCTTAACACGCTTTACTTTATAAAAAAAATTAAGAGTGAATGAAGATTTAGAAGAAGAATTAAGTTAACTAAGAAGAATTAAGAGAAAAAAATATGTAACACCAACTGCTTTGAAAAAAAAATTATTATTCAAATACTATAAGTATTGTATGTACTTAATAGTTTTATACTTCTAAATTTCTAATTTTTTCAATCGAATACGATATACTAAGATACTTTTCTAATAAATTTTTTTAAAATTTTTTTTCAAATTTGATTTACTTAATTAAAAAAAAATGCAGATTTTTTTTAAAACTTTAGCGTTAAGGTGTAGATTGCTTAACAACTTAGATATAATAAGCGAGGTTTTGGCAAAGAAATTAATTTAAAAGCGTGTCTCCAAATATTAAGGATCATGCTGTAAAATAATGATAAAATTAGATTTCAATATTTGTAGAATTAACAATTTATTACTGTCGATTGTGTATTAAATTTATTTATTTTAGTACACAAAATAATAAAAAATAAATAAGCACACAAAATAAAAAATGCAGTTTAAAATTGGGAAAAAGAACAATTTTTTTCGAGAAAGAGATTTAATAAATAGTAATTTCATGGAGGGGTTTTCTATTTTTCATTTTTAAATGTATAATTTTGAATACAATTAGATAGATTAATGTATTTATTAGACAATAAAATTTTTTTCATTTTTAAATGTTTGTTGTTGAATCAAATAAGAAATATTAAGACATTTTTCAGAAAAAGTTTAATTTTTCAATTTTAAATATTTGTTAAATAAAATAAGAGATGTTGAGAAAACTTTTTAAATAAGTAATGATTTTTTTAATTTCAAGAGTTTGTTGTTGATTAAATTAGATACATAAAGACACTTTTTTAGAAAACTACGAATTTGATCAATTTTGAATGTTTGTTGTTGTAGAAAATAAGAGTTATTAAGACATTTTTCAGAAAAAGTTTAATTTTTCAATTTTAAATATTTGTTAAATAAAATAAGAGATGTTGAGAAAACTTTTTAAATAAGTAATGATTTTTTTAATTTCAAGAGTTTGTTGTTGATTAAATTAGATACATAAAGACACTTTTTAGAAAACTACGAATTTTATCAATTTTGAATGTTTGTTGTTGTAGAAAATAAGAGTTATTAAGACATTTTTCAGAAAAAGTTTAATTTTTCAATTTTAAATATTTGTTAAATAAAATAAGAGATGTTGAGAAAACTTTTTAAATAAGTAATGCTTTTTTTAATTTCAAGAGTTTGTTGCTGATTAAATTAGATACATAAAGACACTTCTTAGAAAACTACGAATTTTATCAATTTTGAATGTTTGTTGTTGTAGAAAATAAGACAGGTTAGGAAAATATTTTAATGACAAATAATTTTTTAAATTTCAAACTTTTTGTCGTATAAAATAGGAAACATTGAGAAGCTTTTTAAACAACGTTTATTTTTCAATTCACACTCTTTGGTGTGGAA